GGGAGGGGCGGGGCTCGGACCGCCCTGGGACCTGACGGAAGGGCTGCCCACGGAGCTGCCTGGCCCACAGCCTGCATTTATTTCCCCGTTGTGGTTTCAAATCGAGCTGGAAGGACATAAAAGGAGAAGCGTTTCGAGTTCTCTCACGCTAGCTGATTTAGGGGGCGGGGAAACTGAGGCGTCTCGTAACTCGCATACAGCAAAAGCCAGAATGAGGGGCCTGAGAAGAAAGTCCGGCGGCCCCGGGGAGCGCGCGGCTGGGCCAGGCCCGGCGCGGGAGGGGAGAGCCTGCTGCGTTCCCTGCACGCCCTTGGGGACGTTTGCAAGGTCGAAACCCCGTTGGCCTTCCAACCCGGGGGGCTGTCGCCCCTCTCACGTGCCGGTCCGGGAGCTGAATTCGCTTCGCTACCTGATTACTCACGCTGCCCTGCCTGGGACACGTACACGTGCTTTTGTGCTGGGAGAGAGCCAGGGAGTCCTTCTGTCCCTGCATCTGCACCCGCGACCTCGGAGGACCCGAGGTCGGATGTCGGTTGGCCAAATAGGGAAAGGAGTTGGCAGTCCCCGTTTCTTAATCCGACCTACCATTAAAAGCAAACACTCGCTGGCCTCGAGGCAGTGCTGAGTCACAGTGACCTGTGCGTTTCGGAGCTACTGGAACAGAGAGCGCATTCTTCCTTCCAAGGAGCTGCTGGTGGTCTCAAACTGCCAACCCTGGGTCTCACAGCCCAACATGTAACCGCTACACCACCAGGGATCCTCTTCCAAACACTAAACTCTGCCTTCCAGTCGATGGCGCCTCCTGGAGACCCGGCTTTCTACTCTGGAAAAGGGTTACGTTAAGGATACCCCCCCCCCCAAAAAAAAATCTTAAACGAGCATGGGGAGCCGATAGCATTGATGACTATAACTCCACTAGATGGGTTTGAACAGCAGAATTGTATGTGAATGGATATATTGGATTCTGTAAAATGCCAATTAAACTATTATCGTCATAAAAAAACTAAAGCATGAAGTAACCATCCTCTCTTTTAGCCCAAAACCCATGTTCCTATGCACTTCCTTCACATTCATAAAATACTTACGTTTTGATGGCTCAGGGATCTTTATTCATCATCTTTTGAGGATAAAGAACTTATGTTAAACCCATAATAAGGAAATACATTATTAATAAAGGAATAACATGGGCTCAAAAACCACATAAAATCAGTCTTATTATCATAGCCACCCGCCTGTCGAGACCTTGCAGAGAAAGATAGGATGTGAGATTGGAATCTGGGAAGATACTGATTTTTAAGATTTTTTTACCTGTCTTTTTACACCCTTCCACTCCCAAGGTAATCTTTTCTGCTATCGAAAACCCTCCTTCTCAGGATGGCACTGTATTGTTCATTTGCAATTCCCTCAGCCTGATCTCAAAGTTGTTGGGTGGAGAGTCAGTTCTGACTGGTAGCACCCTTAAGGACAACAGGACAAAGCGCTATCTGCCCGGCGCCATCCTCACACTTGTCTTGATGTTGGAGTTGCGGTGGCAATCCATCTCCTTTTCTTCATGGACCCTCTCCCAAGCATGATGACCTTCTCCAGGGACTGCGCTCTTGATAACATGCCCAAGGTGTGTGAGAAAACGTCTCACCCTCCTCACTTCTAAGAAGCTGTACTTCTTCCAAGACAGATCTGTTTGTTCTGGCAGCCCCGGGGCATAGTCAGTGCTCGTCCACCCCGTAATTCAAGTGCATCTTCCTTCTTTCTTCCTTACTCATTGTCCAACTTTCACATGCCCAGGAGACGAATGAAAATAACATGGCTTGAGTCAGGGGCACCGCGGTCTTTAAAGTAAAAGTAAAGCTCTCCAACAGTTTAAAAGAGGTCTTGGGGAGCAGTTTTGCCCCATGGAATATGTCATTTGATTTTCTTAACTGCTGCTTCATTGAGCATCAGTTGTAGATCGCAGCAAAATTCGATCCTAGACAATTTCAATCTCATGAGCTATCATGCTGCTGGGTTGAAGTTACAATGTGGTTATTTTTCTAGGTACTCTGCGTGTGTGTCGTGTGTATGTGTGTATGGTGGGGAGGAGCGAGCATGCAATACATTTATCTTGTATTGATTTCTTTTTGTTGTTGTATTGATTTCTCAATAAAACACTACTCTGTAGCCTTCATTCATCTGCACTAGAACTTTATTCTTTTCTCAGTTCAAGACCATTTGTAGCGCTTTCCATAACCTTTAACTCGTATTGGAAGTGTTTAGTGTTCTCTGCTCTTTAACCACACCCCGTCTCTCACTATTGGCTTGGTCGTTGTCACAGGTGACGATCACAAATGCTGCTCCAGCTTTGGGGTAGGGTGAGGTCCTATAGCAAATGCACATTACCACGAAGACACCAGAGTCCACAGTAGGACACCGCTAACTTGAACAGCCTGGAAGCCTATGTAGCTCTAAAGATCCTCCCTCCCCTTCTGAATTTCCAAGGCAAAGTCCACCTGCCCAATACTGGAATTAATCCTGGGATTCCTTTAAGAACCTTTAGTGGGACTCACTCACTCACTCACTCTCTCACTCACTCACTCTCTCACTCACTCACTCACTCACTCACTCTCTCACTCACTCTCTCACACTCACTCACTCACTGTCTCACTCACTCACTCTCACTCACTCACTCACTCACTCACTCACTCTCTCACTCACTCACTCTCTCACTCACTCACTCTCTCACTCTCTAATTCACTCACTCAAGAAATAAACTAAAAAAAAAAAAAAGAACCTTTAGTGGAAGTCTTGATGCACTCCTGCACTGCATGTAAGCATGTATCAAATGTCTGTACAGAAGAGTTCTTTTTAAAAAGTCAAATCTAGTTTAAAGTGCAAACTCAGTGGCATTTGAATTGGTTCCATATCTAGTTTGATGCATTTCTCTCTCTCCCTCCCTCTCTCTCTCCTGCTATGGAGTTGATCCCAATTCATAGCCGCTCTATAGAGTTTCTGAAACTAAATCTGTACAGGAGCAGACAGCCTCACACAGCGGCTGGTGGCTTTGAATGACTATTCTAAAGCCAAACTCCTAAGCCCACCGGGATTCTAGATACAGTTTTGAAAGGGGTTCACTCTCCAAGCGCTGGGGGGTTGTGGCAGGCCCTTCCAACAAGCTAGGGCAAGAGGAAGGAGCCTCACAGAGAAGGAAATGCAGGAGAGAGTAGGCTGGATCTAGTCTTTCTCACTTAGGGTGCGAGTTTTTCTGCATCTCCCTCCTAAATTAACACAAACTAAAGCTTTCTTGCCAATTCTATTATTTGGCATAATTATTCAGCTTTATAAATAGTAAAGGCAAACCGAGGGAGAAATATAACCTGGACTCAGGCATGCAGAAACAAAAGCCCTGTGGGCTTGATGGAACATGGAAATATCGTTTTTTGGTGTGTGTTTTTTTTCTCTTTAACCTTTAACCAGTTTCTGTTAGGTTATGTAACTTTTAAGTTTCCTCCTGGGGTCAGTAGTGAAGAATATTATTTTAGTGTGGTGGGGGCAAAGATGAATAAAGTAACACATAGGCAGTCTACTATTACAGGGCTTGGAAAAAGATTTTCAAATGTAGGATCCTTTCGATTGTTGTAGACCTCCCTCTCTCAGGTGAACATCTCTCTAAAGTGCTTACTGGAAGAGGTACTTAAAATGTAGGTGACCACAGCTAGCAAAGTGGTTTTTCTATTTCAGCATACTCTCAGAAATAATAAGCTGAGCCTTCTGTCCAAACCTTTTAATTTTAAAAGATGAAAACTAGGCATGAGTGGTTAAGGTACTTGTCCATCACTCAACAAGCAAATACGTGAACACTGCCAAGATATGACTCTCACTTTGTGGAGCGCTGGTGGTTTGCAAACCACAAGGTCTGTGTGGGACAAAGACAGCCTTTCTACTCCTGTAAAGAGTTACAGTCTCAGAAACTCACAGGGCAGCTCTACCCTGTCCCTATGAGTCAGAATTGACTCACGGGCAATGAGTTTGGGTTTTTTGTTTGTTTTTCACTTAATGTTGAATCTAGATAAAACATCGGGGCTCTGAATATATCAGGTGTGTTTATAGGAATGTCTTCATGGTCATTCAGTTAACTGCCTGTCCTTTCCTTCTCCAGAGATCCTCCAGCTCACCCCTCTGAAGGACACACGGGAAGGCCCTATTGGCCTTCGGCTCCATCATGCCCCACGTCTTTCATTCCCTCTCAGCCCACAGACCCAAACCACTCAGAGCACACTGTTGATTTACCTTCCAAGGGCCCCATTTGCCTAGGAGAAATGACTCACCCTGCAATATCGCCATATTTCCCCAAGCCCCTCCCCGTTACTTGCCATACATTGGCGCTCAATTTGAGATACTGTAGGAATGACAACCTTTATAGACATTTTTATAGTCCACGGACTCATAGGGGAGAGCCTAACAGAAAATGGAGTAAGAGTGGAGTCTTTTCACAAAGGAACCTGCTGTAGGGAATGGTGACAAGCAAGGCATAAGTGGCCCCAGCATAAATTTACTTATTTATTTTTTTTATAATCATTTTATTGGGGGCTCTTACAACTCTTGTTACAATCCATACATCAATTGTAGCCAACATATTTGTAAATATATCCTATCATTCTTTTCTGGTCATTTACTTTCCATTGAGCCCTTGGGATCAGTTTTGTTTATTTGTTTGTTTTCAGAAAGCACAACACATTTTAATAGAGGAGGAGTTCGGTTACACTGACTTTGTGCTCAAGTAATAATAAAACATTTGTTTGTTTTTGATCTCACACATTGCCCCTTCAGGTTTTGCCCATCTCCTGCACGCTTGGTGCGACCTTTGGCTACGTGGCTGGGCTAGCTATTTCACCACTCTGGATCTACTGGAATAGAAAGCAACTTACATACAAGAATAATTAAATGGGAGCCAAAGGACACGATATTTCTTTGTGAAGATTCCACAAAGACTGTGCAGAAATCTATGGGTAATGCCAAGCAGTTCCATTTACAGCACTGTTGTTTCATCTATGTAGACACAATACGATGTGATTGTAACTTTTTAAAACTATGAAACCCCTGAGAGATTGTAGCTTCTATTGAAATAAAGTATTTATAATACAGATTGTGGCTTCAGATGCTGTGTGCTGCTTCTTGGACCTTGAAGAAACATTCTTGGGGAGCTCTAGAGACTTCTGAGGGCAGTTTTGTTTGATCATCCCACCCCCACCCCCCAGGTTTTAAACTGCTTCTTTCTAAGAGGTCTGTGTACAGCTGTAGCTTTTCATATGCTTTCTGAGAGCAAGAGAGAGTCTCCTTGGCCCCTGAAGACTCCTCACGTAATCAAGCAACAGTTTATACATCTTGATCCTATTCTTTTCTTGACTGTGTGCTTCTTTGGGGTTAAAATGGCTATGTTAGCCCCATCAAAAACAGTCTTCAATCCCTTCTGGGTTAAAGCTGAACATTCCACGTAGCAGCATGCTCCTATCTCTTTTGCTAGTTTCTGTCCTTGTTCCACACACACGGGTTTTTCTTTGATATCATTCAGTCTTGCTAACGTTCTGGGGTCATCTCGAAGATCGATCTGAGTTCCTATTAATAAAAAGGGGACATTGGGCGCATAGTCCTTAAGTTCTGGTACCCACTCCTCTTTCACAAGTTGGAACGAGGCTGGATTCACCACAGAGAAGCATTTCAGGAAGACACCAGTCTTTCGGGTAGGATAAAGACCTCAGCCGGTCATAGTCTGTCCGGCCTTGTCATAGAGTCCCAGAAAGTACTGCTTGCCCCCCACGGTGACGCTGACTGCATAGTGATCTACAGTGGGCACCTACTCCTCTGGGAAGGCGTCCTTGGCATAGCTCCTGAGCAGGCGTCTTGTCCACTACCCGGTCACCCACCACCACGCACTTGAGCATCAGTGCGCTGGGCCCGTGAGCCATGCTCTGGCCGGCCAGCCTCCGGGCATGGTTCCCCGGCCTCCCCACCCCCACCGGAGGCCCTGCCCCGGCCCCGGGCTCAGCCCCAGTCCGCCTGGAGGGTCCAGCGCCGCCGACGCCCCCTGCCCCGCCCCCCAGGCCCCATGCAGCAGTCCCCCAGTCCAAGGGGAGGAGGCAGCGGGCCCAGGGCCCTGCCGCAGCTCCAGTCGCTGCCCAGGTCCGCACCCCGCCCCGGCCGCCGCACCCGTCTACTGGCCCCGCCGCCCAGCGCCTGGGCCCTCGCTCCGGCCTGGCCCCCGATCAGCTTTTTTTCGCCCTTCCTCCCACCCCCAAACCCTCGTGACCCCTTGATAGGTTGTAGATTGTTAATTATTTTCAAATCTCACACCAACCTCTGGTTTCCGTTTTCACCCCCCTGGGGTGTGCCATTCATCGCGATCCGTGCCCCCCCCCCACACCTTCCCCCTACCCTTTTGCTACCTTTATTCCCTTCCCTGTTCCTGGGCTCCATGTGTTGTGAGTTTTCTCTTGCCTTTACCTATGTACATGCTCCCCTCTAGTATATAGACTCTTAAGTAGACAAAAACACATCACAGTTGACATTTTAAATTTCATTATTACGTGGAAGAACTCAATGATCTAAAAGTCTAAGTTAATATGAGTATTACAAAAAGGAAAAGGACGAAAGGTGGGAGTATAAATTTATTTTTATTTTTGGAAACCTGGAAAATAGAGCATGTTCATCACTTCAGTATAAAGATACAATTCAACATTCAACCAACGTATAAATTTGAGGGAGGAAGCAATAAAAGTCAATGCAAAGTCTTGAGTTCGTACAGGAACACAAGAGACAAGTGTCCTGTCTCTAATCCACTTCCTCAATGGTGGGGCCAGAGCCAGAGGCACCGTGGGGAGCCTGAGCCCCAAAGCCCCCGGCCCCGGGGCCCCCTGCCCCCTGGTAGAGGCCAGTGATGATGGGGTTGCACACCTGCTCCAGCTCCTTCCGCTTGTGCTCAAACTCCTCCTTCTCGGCCAGGGAGTTGGCGTCGAGCCAGGAGATCACCTCCTGGCACTTATCCAGCACCTTCTTCTTGTCGGCCTCGCTGATCTTGCCCTTGAGCCCCTCGTCCTCCACGGCACTCTTCATGTTGAAGGCGTAGGACTCCAGGGCGTTCTTGGCGGACACCTTCTCGCGCTGCACCTCATCCTCGGCCTTGTACTTCTCGGCCTCCTGCACCATGCGCTCGATCTCCTCCTTGCTCAGGCGGCCCTTGTCGTTGGTGATGGTGATCTTGTTGGCCTTGCCCGTGCT